GTATATGTCAGTTTAGGGTTATGCATGTAAGAGAGAAATTAAGGGTAAAAGCTAAAATCATGGCAAACCCTCCCTTTGCAGATTCTACCTATTTCAAAATTGTCCACTCTTTTTTGCTTTAAAATGAAAAAAATTAAAATATTGTCAAAATAATAATTACAGACCCATTCATTCTATCGTTATTTAAAAGAATTAAATCAAAATTCAAAAACTTAACTTCTTTGAAAAATAAAAAGGCAGTAAAAATTCATTCTTGGATTGAATCTTTTGCAACTTTTTGAAGAACGAAAAAGAATTAAATAATAACTTACAATGGAATATTTTTCGGTTTTATAAAATGAAAAACAATTATAGAAATAAATTTTTGGCTCTGGTTCTTTTAAAAATAATAAGAAAAAACTAATGGATTTAGGTCTGTTAGTTATTTTTATTCGATAAAGTATACTAATATGCTTTTTATTAATTAACAACTTAATCATTAATTTAAATATATCTAATTATATGTGAACTTGATAAGTCAAGAATTAACCTGGTTTAAGCTTGGAGTTATATGTAATGTACTATTGTATGCATTCACTAACAGCAATGAATAGTAAATAGGTGGCTTCAATAACATTCTCAACGGATCATTAAACAGCCAAAAGACAGATTAATTAGGAAATTTATGATGTTCAAACTGATGACACGGTAAAGAAACTCAACCTACAGAACACAAACAGCAACTACATTCAAATTTGGAGCAAGTCCACAGAAAAATGTAAAACGCCAATGATAAACTGTGTTTTTGCTAAACCAAAAAGGAGATCAAGATCAAGTCCAGATCGACCATCCACATATTTCTAGACAACTGTCGACCGGTGTATTGCTGGAAGGATAAGCTCCTCAGAAGAGCTACTTCTTGTATACACGCTAATCTCGAACAGAAAATCCATAAATACTTATTGCTTCAACAGGACGTTTGTTGTAACCATTCTGACAGTAGAGGCAAAACATCATGTTGTCTTGACAACAGCTGCACGCACATTACCTAAGGATAATAGCAGAAAGAATTAGCAAGAATGCAAAAAGAAAAAATAGCATCTGGGATAAGCATCAGAGAGATCTATAAACTGAGGTCTCTTTGTACACGTCTTTTGACCACACATATAATTGACGATGCTGAGAAGAATAATAAGTTCTTCGAGACAAGAAAAAAAATACCAAATACTGATTATTTGATCTGATCACATAAAGAGTACAGTTTGTTATCAAACCATAATTCCAAAAAGGCCGAATATGTAAAGCAAAAAAAAAAATATTTTCAACAATCATTTGTTAATCTAATCACGGTCAGAGGTGAAGAGGTTGAGCCCCTATTTGACAGATTTATTTATTATTTTTTTCGGGGGGAGGGGGGGTGGGAATGAGTTTCGAATAGTAAATTTTCGGGAACATGTGGTTAAAAAGTACGAAAAATTTTGGGTTTACGTGAAGAATATTTTATTGTAAGAATGAGTAGTTGAAATGAGCATGAGAAAAAAGAATGAAAAAGAATGGTTGTTATGAATCATAAACAGAAGTGAATAGCATGCAGAAATGTACATGGCCTTAGGAATGGGTAACAGAATGCAAAAATAGAATACAATATTAGTGCAGCACAAAAGAGCAACTCTAGATCAGAAATCGAAGTGCACGATATATGCTTACATAAGATGAATAGACGATGGACCAGTAAAAGCTGCAACTTTTTGAGCACGCTGGCCCTCAGACTTGTAGAGCCCCTTCATGTCTTTTTTCATTTGCCGTGCCTCACGTCGTTCTGCTTTCAGTGCACTCTGCAAAAGAATAGTCCATATATTACCATAATTATGGCTTATACCATGACGAGGAATCATCCCTAAAGAGATGAAATATGGAAAGGAAGCCCCCACCCTCTACCTCCACTGGGGACAGGGAGAGGAGAAAAAGAGAACAAACACAAAGCCTTCAATGGATCAAATAATCAAACAATCGCATCTTCCTCAATCAAGGGAGAAAGATGTACTTTGAGATTTCTGGTCCACAATCACCATCACAAGAAAAAAGAAGTTATAGAATGAAAAGTAGGAATAGAACATTGCAAAAAGAATCAAAATATGGTCCAACTGTAGAAAATATTCAATATTTATTGACAGTCGTGTAATATTGTATGACCAAAGAAACATCATTTTGCACCTTTCTTTCTTTCTTTTCCTCCTTTGTCTCTAGACCTCGCGGCTTCCTCTTCTGTTGTTCAGTTCTTGAAGCATTCGGATCTTTCTTATCTATCACTTTTTCTGCATCATGCTTCTCTCTCTGGGGTAAAAAGCCCACAGGAAGCTTTTCTCTACCCTTTAAAACTATCAATTGCCTGACTGCACTCTGATCTCCAGATGTGGTTTCGACCATTTTCTTCTTCCTCCTTCCTCCTGGAGCTTCAATCTTAGCAGGGTGGTTGTCAAGATTTGAATATGTAGAGACAATAGTTTCACAATCCCATATTTCTGATTCGTCGCTACTGTCCTCAACAATCACAGCCTCTTGATCCAGGTTCTCATTTTCATACTTTTCACCATATTCCTTGCACCTACGGATCACATCAGCAGCAGCTTCTGGTGATTCAATATCTTCTGCTTCCTTGATAGCCAAGCCTTCTATAGGACGGTCCTTAAATGCATGTCCGATCTTTTCCGCAAGGGATTCTTGGCATTCATTTTCTTCATCAATGTAACCACTGTATTCTTCTTCACTGTCATTGCCATATTCCTGAAGCTCTAGCTACAAGAAAAACATAGTGTAAGAGACTTGGAATTATTTATCAGATGTGAACATACCACAACAGTATAGTTCAAGGATGTTAGAAATTAGATCAAGATTGGGACTTCTTTTAGTCGCCTATGTAGTAGATAACTCTGAGTTCGACGTCGAATAGCCAAAGTGAGTTCATCACCAGAGGCGTAAGCATAGGAGGCATATGCTGTAGGAAAAATAGTTGATTAACCAGTAACGATTGTCAAAACAAAATTGGATCTTACCAAGTCAAATTGCTCATCTAAAAGACGACGAGCTCTAGGTTTCTCACCATCCAAGCCAGAAAGGTTAGCCTCATTCGCTGGTCCACCAGGTGCATCCAAATCATCACTACCCTTGTGGCCAACCTTGGACTCTCCTTCCAAACTCAAGCGCTTATCGAGTTGTATATCAAGTGGACCTTCCGCGAAATTTGCTCTCATGATGAAATCCTCTTCCAAGTCCTCCACATCGGACCCAAAATTCGATGAATCACTCTCATCCAGCATTGCAGCCACTTCAGGATCCACCACTTTCTGTAATCTAGCCCCAACTGTCCTTGATGCAACATTATATAGTGAATTCTCATTCGAATCTTCATTCACCCTAGAAACCTCCACTCTTGAAGCGTCATAAGCCTACCAGGAATAATGTACAGATTTACAATGAAATTATATAAAAACAACATCAACTTCAAATACATAATCATGGCTCATAAAAACATCATTGATATAATGACTCTCCTTCCAACATGGGATGAAAATGAAGAACTGATTCTAATGCCAATAATCATTCCACGTTTTCAACTTTTGCACAGCCCTTGCATCACAAATAAATAATAAAAAATAAACGAGAAGCCCGTTCAAAACATATATTTTTCTTTTCCAAAAGCAATACTGATGAATAAATCAAGCAAATTGTGAAGGCAATACTGATGAATAAATTTAACCAATTGAAAAGGAAATATGATGAATAAATTAAGCTAATTTTGCCACATCATTGTTTTAACACAATATTTAACTCTTACAAATTTCACAAATTTTCAAAACATGAAACAATCTGACCTTAACATCTCGTGGCAACTGATTGAGATTAGCTTTTGGATTATGATAATAGGAAGAACCTCCGCCAGTATTTTTAATCTCCCTCATGTGTAGCAAATAATTGTACCCATCGTCTGGAAATCCTAGCTCCAGAATTTCCCTTCTCACGTGGTCCGGTAACGCCGTCGTCCTTTCATCTCTGTAGTTACATAATCCTCCATTGAAAGAATTTCCAGCCTCACCATCATTATCTTCGGGCGCGTCCGCAAAAATGGAACTCTGGTCGTCTGTTTGCTCTTCCTCGTTGAGGGATGTATTGGGTGTGTAGGGGTTGCTGTCGACCCGGACGAAGACCCGATCGCCAGAGGGTCCAGATGAGTAGTTCGGGTCAGAAGTGTCCCGTGCCATGAGCTGGAACGTGGCAGATTTTTTCTTGTCAAAGAATTTCTTTGTCTTTCCCATTGTTTGGACGATTTCTTCTTGCTGAATGTAGAAAAAGTTCAAGAGCTACGATTAGCTAGAGATTGCAATCAGGGGCGGAGGTCCTGGGTATTTCACCAATGAAAAACCGTAAACAACCGCATCAAAAATTTAAGAGAAAAATATCGTTGAAAAAATAAATGTTTCTGGAGAAAGATTAACATCAAGAAACAATGATTCTGGAAAAGTAAAATAAATTATAAGGAGCTGAGTTCAAATTAAATCATTCACAACAAACAAATCGATTCTATTTCAACATATGAAGCCCGTTTTGAACACTAATACAATCCGATACTACCTCCCAAGTTTGGTTATGAAGAAGTTGAGAAGAAATCACGACAACATAAGATAAATTGGTGCCGAGAGTTGATGAATATAGTCCCAAATTTTTAGTGCAATAGCGAGAGAAAAAACCTAGGCTGCTCTTCCCCTTGCTAAACAGACGTGGGTTATCCTTTGATAGGCCTGCCTTCTAACTGGGCCTATGGAGGAAATTAGACCCAATACTCTAAAAAAAAAATATTAGATTAATACACTAAAATAAATTAAAACATGCTTAACTATAATTAATACGTAACAATTTCCAAAACCTTCCTGTCAATATTTTATTGCATAAAATAAATCACACACCCCACATTTGTATGTAACCTGTAACACTCCTGATACTATCAAAAATCATACCTGTAGATTTTTCGAGCTTGATGATTGGTGAGGAGCACGAACGTAATCTTCCGATACCTGAAACAAAGGCAACGAGGTGTGTTCTCGTCGCCCCTTCGATGCTTAAGTCAGAAAAGGAAATATATGCGTGAGGCTATGTGCTGAAGAACAATGAAAAAACGTACCTGAATAATGACCCAAGGTTCTGCTTTTATAGGAGTATGTAGTGTACTCCTAGTAGGATTGTGTTGGTTGGATGTTTTTATCCAAGGGAATTTCTATTATAAGGAGTGTCCTACTTGTAATGGAATTGTTTGACAAGTGGTGTCAGGGTTGATGTAGAATCCTTTGGTGTTTAGGTTTGTTAGTTAGGTACCCGGGTCTTAGGAGCCATGTTGGTGGTGTATGTCTCGAGGACTATTCTCGAGGACATTGATAGAATGTAAATGTGTCCTCGAGGTATCTCGAGGACTACGATACCTCGAGGACTTAGGGTGACCCCGAGGACCATAGAAGAGAAATGAGGTGGGGTATATATTGAGTCCTCGGGGTATATCAATATTGGCATAGTCACTGGCCCCCGTGCACTCGTCCTAGAGATCAAGCTCTTAGGATGGGGTGCACATGGGTTATGTCATTTCTCGAACCTTCGTCGAGAAGTGATGCTGATGATATAGGTCGAGATATGACCGTTGCAGAGAGTGGCTTGGATTTGTGACACATGTCTTCGTGGACGGTTGTAGATAGCGACCTTTGGCCTCCCATCGTTTTCATCTATAAATACTATTGTTCTCACCTTCATTTTTCACTTTTACCCACTGTAAATCAGAGTTCTGCGAGGTCGTGCTCGAGAAAAACACTTTGGGAACTTCTCAAGTCGTCGGGAACTCCAGGTAAGGCTCGAGACTTTAAGTTATTCATAAGCTAGGCCTTAAGTTTGTTAAGTGATGTTGAGTAGTGAGGGTCGAGAATCTTCTAACAGTTCTAGTAGTAGTGAGGACGTAGGGACCTCGATAATACCGACGGCTATTCCCCTAGAGGCTACTCCCGAGGCCCAGGTTAATATGGTTTTTGAGTATCCCGACGAACCCTGTAGGCTTAAAGAGCACTCAGTCATAGCTGCAGCTAGGGAATATGGTATAATGCCTAATTGCGATGTTAGATTTCCTGACCCCGAGAATAGGATTATTCGAGCACGACGAGGGGAGTTTGTTATTTTTAGGGAGACCTTTAAGGCTGGCTTTAGGTGGCCCCTTCACCCCTTCTTTATTGCTCTATTAGTCGAGCACTCCATGTGCCCGGGGCAGTTAGTGCCCAACGCCTGGAGAATGCTCGTTTATTTTTTTATAGCATGTAGATACTTAGGTATCGAACCCAACATTAGCCTCAGCAAATTAGTGTTCGAGCTTAAGAAGCATCCTCGATACACTTGTTTTGGCTATCTCTCGACGATTGGGGGCTTTAAAATCCCGAGGATGGCGAGCTCTTTAAAGGGGTGGAGGGAGGGGTGGTTTTATGTTATAGCCCAAGAACCCGATCTTCCTTTCTGGCCTGATTGGGGAATCCCCGACGCCGAGAAGTTTTGTGAGGGCCAGGTGTATCCGGATGTTTTGGAAGAGCATAGGAGGATGCTGGTCGGGCTCAGCCCCCTTTTCTCGACGATGAAGGAGATTGGGGAGGAGGTTATAGACCTGGCAGATATTAGAGGCGTCGAGGGTAGGGATGTTCCTTTATTATTATTTTTTGAAAAATACCCTGACCTTGTGCTCGTTCTAAAATGTTTGTAAATATTTGCAGATATGTCTTTTGATCCTCGAGCTCTCCGGAACTTTGTCAGCACAAGGGGAGACGCTCATCCACAGGGGCAGCCCCCGAGGAAGAAAAGCAAGAAGAGGCCTCGAGGGGCTCCTGAGGGTGCGAGGGGGCATGGCGAAACTTCTCGAGCTCATCCACAAGTCTCGACCCCTTTGCAACCGAACCTTAGATCTCCCACTCCTCGGGTCGTCACTCCTTGGCCTCCTTCTGAAGTGGTTGACCTTGAGGATGACCCGTCTCTTACCAGGGACTTCGAGACTTGCCACCTCGCTCCTGAGCTCGTTAACAAATACAAAGAGGAGGTCAAGCTCGAGGATGGGATGAAGGTCCTCGAGGGTCTTACAGTGAAGGTAATCTTCGAACTTTCGACTTTAGCCTTGAGTTTATTGGTCGAACTTAATACTTGACATTTTCTTCATTTTTTCCAGATGTTGAGTATAGCTCGAGGACTCTCTCTGCAAGGGCTCGAGGAGGCCAAGAGGGCAGCTGGGGTCGAGACGTCCATGGCCTCTAAGGACAGCAGGATTCAAGACCTCGAGGCACAGGTCGAGGTTTTATTGAAGGAGCGTGATGACGCGAGGAGGGAGGCTGCAAAGGCCAGGGATGACCTGGTTATAGCAAAGGATGAGGTCGAGGGCGCGAGGCTCGAGCTCATCCAGAAGACAGAGGATTTCGGGCGCGAGCTCGCGGCTGTCAGGGAGAGGGCTTGGGAGGAGTTTAAAACCTCCGAGGATTGCGACAAGATAAAAGGGGAGTATGCGTTGGGGGCGTACTTCCATGCTCTGAAAGAAGCCCAGGCCTTCCTCCGTGAGAAGTTGCCCGACGTCACTCCAGACGACTTGAAGACAGTGCCTTCCATTGCTGATACATTGGAGATCTCAGGCTCGGAAGATGGAGGAGGATCGGGTGGAGATGATGAGGATGGTCTTGAGGACGACGTTGAGATCGACATCAGCAACCTCGACCCTCCTCTTGGCCACATTGGATGACTTCCCCACCCCGATCCTTTGTAATTTTTTGTTTAATTTTGACAATGTAAATTGATCGAGGACTATGTATGTTCTTAAAGTTAATTTATTCGAACTATTTATCTCGACCCCTTGGACTCCATACATTCGAGCAAACAAATTGGAAACTAACTGCTCATGCGACATTGAAGTGTTTACTCGAGGATTCCACAACTCGAGCGCATTTAAGGGATTAAAAAGTGGCAGACATACATTCTCGAGGACTGTAATCTCGAGCACAAATATATAAAAAATAATGATGTGACATTCTCGAGGACAATTAATCTTAAAAAATGAGTGCATTCTCGAGGACTGTAATCCCGAGCACAACTAACTTTAAAAATTGATAGTGACATTCTCGAGGACTGTAATCCTGAGCACAACTAACTTTAAAAATTGATAGTGACATTCTCGAGGACTGTAATCCTCGAGCACAACTAAACTTTCAAAACTGAGTGACATTCTCGAGGACTGTAATCCTCGAGCACACTAAACTTTAAAAAGTTGGGGTGTGATTTCCTCGAGGACTGTAATCCTCGAGCACACTAACTTTAAAAAGTTGGGTTGTGAAATCCTCGAGGGCTATAACCTCGAGCACACTAAACTTTAAAAAGTTATAATGTGAGATTCTCAGGGGTGTCCAAAATGATGTGGGATTTTTGTATGTCCCTGGGCGATACTATAATGGTTTACACTTGACTATATGATCAAGGCTTTTTGTGCTTGCGCAGGGCAAAGCTTTGGTACTTGCTTGAGACAAGGCATTTTTGACTGCTTGCCTGGGGCAAGGCTTTTTGAGTGCTTGCCTGGGGCATGGCTTCTTTGAGTGCTTGCCTGGGGCAAGGCTTCTTTGAGTGCTTGCCTGGGGCAAGGCTTTTTTGTGTGCTTGCGCGGGGCAAGGCTTTTTTGTGCTTGCGCGGGGCAAGGCTTTTTGGAGTGCTTGCCTGGGGCAAGGCTTCTTTGGAGTGCTTGCCTGGGGCAAGGCTTCTTTGAGTACTTGCCTGGGGCAAGGCTTTTTGGAGTGCTTGCCTGGGGCAAGGCTTCTTTGAGTGCTTGCCTGGTGCAAGACTTTTACTAAAGGGCTGTTATACCCGAAACTTGAATTTACTAATTTTTCAGACTGAACTTGGATTTATATTGTATCCAAGCTGCCTACGTACCCAAATGGGATCAAGCCGAACGTAGTTCATTACAAAAGAGAACGAAAAATATGCATGGGCACGCAGACCCGCTAAACTAGAAATAAAATGCAGAAAAAGAAAATCTCCTAAAAGGCGTCAGGAATTTTACTTGTAATATATTTTTAGATTGTCGGCATTCCAGGGCCTCGGAAGAGATCTGCCCGAGGTGTCTCTTAGGCTGTATGCTCCTTTGCGAACCTGTCGTATGACCTCAAAGGGCCCTTCCCAGATGGACCCGAGTTTCCCTGGGGGGTGGCCTGCTGCTTCGGCCCTCCTCAAGACCAAATCGCCAGCTCTGAACCTCCGAGCCTTGACTTTGCTATTAAAATGTTTCGCTGTCTTAGTTTGGTAAGAGGCCACCTTTTTAGCGGCTTGCTCCCGTACTTCTTCCAAGAGATCAAGATGTTCAGCTGTATGCTCCGAGGTTTCTGGCACAAGCCTCCTATGGCTTGGCAGTCTAATTTCCACCGGGACCATTGCTTTAATGCCATAGGCTAACATAAAAGGGGTTTCTCCTGTGGTTGTCCTATGAGTTATTCTATACATCAAAAGTATAGAAGGCAGCTCGTCGGACCAAGAACCCCTTGCATCGGTTATTCTTGTTCGGAGGTCTTGCAATATGATTCGATTTGTTACCTCGGCCAGGCCATTGCTCTGAGGATGAGAAACTGATGTCAGACGGTGATCAATCCCAAGGTTTGAGCAAAAGTTTCTAAACTGTTGGTTGTCAAATTGCCTGCCATTGTCGGTGATGAGGACCTTTGGTATCCCAAACCTGCAAATGATAGACCTCCAAGTGAAGGCTCTTAGCTTGGGCTCCGATATTGTGGCGAGAGGTTTGGCCTCTACCCATTTTGTGAAGTACTCTACTGCTACAGCAACAAACTTTAATTGGCCTCTTGCCACAGGAAAGGGGCCGAGGATGTCAACTCCCCATTGTTCAAACGGGGCCGAACAATTAATGTTGGTGAGATCTTCGGCTGGTGAGTGGATAACATTACCAAACCTCTAGCACCTATCACATCTTTTAACATATTCTGAGGCGTCTTTTTTCATAGTGGCCAGTAGTATCCATATCGTACGAGTTTAAAGGCCAAGGCCCTGGCTCCTTGATGATTCCCGCACACACCTTCATGAACTTCAGCAAGGGCCTGGGATGATTCTGATGGCCTGAGGCACCTTAGGTATGGAAGAGTAATACTTCTGCGAAAGAGGACACCGCTGATCATGCAGTACCTAGGAGCTCGGGCTCTGATGCTTCTGGCCAACCTGGCATCGCTTGGTAGATTTTCGCTTGTGATGAATTCTATGATCGGGTCCATCCAGGATGGTTCGTTGTCAATGTCCATGATGTCGAGGATTTGACTGATGCTGGATTCTGTGATGATTTTAATGTGAACCGTTCTGTCAAGGCCGTCTGCCCCCATGAACACAAGCCTGGATAATGCGTCGGCTTTTCCATTGTCCTTTCGAGCAATTTTTGTAATTTCACAGCTCTTGAATTTTCGTTGAAGATCCTGAACCTTCATACAGTACAAACTCATTTTCTCCTCCTTTCTTTCAAATGATCCTTCAATCTGTCCGACCACTAGCTGTGAATCGCTGAATATCTTTACGAACTTGAGCTATAGGCAAAGGGCTAGCTCAAGAGCAATAACGACGGCCTTATACTCGGCCTCGTTTTTGGTTGCTTCAAACTCGAACCTGAGAGCGCATTGGATCTCTGTTTGTTTGTCAGGGCTGATGATGATGACCCCTGCGCCCGAGCCCGAGGAGTTCGATGCTCCATCCACAAATATCTGCCAAGTGTCCAAATTAGTGCTCATGCTCGAGCTGTCACCTGGCCCCCGAGGCCTAGGGGTTAGTTCTGCAATGAAGTCGGCTAGAGCTTGGGCTTTGATAGATGGGCGTGGTTTGAATTCCATGTCAAATTCTCTAAGCTCGATTGCCCATTTCATCAGTCTTCCTGATACGTCCGGCTTCTGAAGTATATGCCTAAGTGGTTGATTAGTGAGCACCACAATAGGGTGAGACTGAAAATACTGCCGGAGTTTCCGTGCTGCTATAACCAAGGCAAGGGCAAGTTGTTCCGCCAAAGTATACCTTGTTCCTGCATCCAGTAGGACCTTGCTTACATAGTAGATAGGTTGCTGGACTTTGTTGACCTCTTTCACCAAGACCCCGCTGACAGCATTTTGAGATACGGCCAAGTACAAAAATAAGGTGTCACCAGGCTCAGGCCTAGTGAGAATAGGTGGAGATGCCAATGTCTGCTTGAGCTCCTGGAAAGCTTTCTCACAGTCTTCACTCCAATCAAAGCCTTGGTTTCCTCTAAGGACTTTGAAGAAAGGATAGCACCTGTCTGATGCTCGGGACATGAACCTGTTCAAGGCTGCTATCCTACCAGTCAACCTCTGTACCTCTTTCTTGTTCCTTGGTGATTCCATAGACGCCAAGGCTTGTATTTTGTCAGGGTTGGCCTCTATCCCCCGGTGAGTGATCATGAAGCCCAAAAACTTGCCCGAGGCCACGCCAAATGCACATTTTGCGGGGTTCAACTTCATTCCGTACTTTCGCAAGGTGTTGAACACTTCTTCAAGATCTGAAATATGTTGGTCCACCTGTTTGCTTTTGACCACCATGTCATCAACGTACGCCTCCACGTTCCTTCCAATTAAGTTAGCAAAGACTTTGTTGATGAGCCTTTGGTATGTTGCCCCTACATTCTTCAAACCGAAAGGCATGACCTTATAACAGTATATGGCGGAATCGGCCATGAATGAGGTCTTTTCTTGATCTTCCTCAGCCATGAGGATTTGATGATAACCAGAAAATGCATCCAAGAAGCTGTATAGCTTATGTCCAGACGTGCTATCCACCAAGTTGTCAATCCGTGGTAGGGGATAACTATCCTTTGGACATGCTTTGTTAAGATCTGTGAAGTCGATGCAGACCCTCCACTTACCATTGGCCTTCTTTACTAAAACAACATTGGCAAGACAATCGGGATATTGGACCTCCCGAATGAACTGAGCGCTGACGAGTTTGTTAATTTCTTCTCGAATGACCTCCCGACGTTCTGGGGCAAACTGTCTTTTCCTCTGCTTTACTGGTCTGGCCCCCGGGCTTATTTTAAGCCTATGTACTGCAATTTTAGGGTCTAACCCTGACATATCCTCAACCTTCCAGGCAAAAACGTCAATGTTGCGAGATAAGCAACCAACAAGTTCTGTCTTTAGGGTGACGTCAAGATCCCGACCAATAGTCACCTTCTTATCATGCTCAAGCTCAATTTCCGTCAATTCTTCGACAGGGTCAAGTCTGACTTGTTGCCCGTCCTCGGGATCCATCCTCGAGATTTGCATGACGTCGTTATTTATTTCCCGAACGCTGGCAACATAGCATTGTCTGGTAGCTGTCTGGTCTCCACGGATGACCCCAACGCCATTACTTGTTGGAAACTTCATGGCCAGGTGGAAGGTAGACACAATGGCTTTAATCTTGTTCAGAAGTGGTCTTCCCAGAATAGCGTTATAGGCCATTGAGACACGTACCACTTGGAAAGATGTCATCTCCGTAACCTGTTTCTGGCCAGAACCCAAAGTTAGAGGGAGCTCGACGACACCCTCTGGAGTGATGACTCCTTCCCCAAACCCCTGGAGAGGAGTTTTAACCGTTTTGAGCTGCTGAGATGAGATTCCCATTTTGGCAAAAGCTTCTTGTGAAAGTATATTGGCCGCACTCCCGTTGTCAACCAAGATCCTCTTTACTTCAAAATTGGCCAAAATGGCTAAGATTACCAAGGCATCATCATGTGGGAGCGATACGCCTTCTAAGTCTCCGGTCCCAAAAGTAATATCCTCCTCCAGCTTTCCATGAGGCATCCCAGAGGCCAAGGCATATCGTCGGGCATATTGTTTTCTTCCACTGTTGGAGTCTCCTCCCGAGGCAATACCTCCAATGATGATATTGATGGTTCCAGCAGTGGGTTGACCATCCCTTTTTGCCTCAAGGTCTTTTTCCCTGCCACGATCATTCCTCGGGTGTTTGTCGTTAACGACGTAGGAGCTCAGGAGTCCTCTTTTAATAAGGGCTTCAATCTCCCGTTGCAAGGCCTTACAGTTCTCCGTGGTATGCCCATGATCCCGATAGAACTCACAGTACTTGTTCATGTCCCTGGATTCGGGTGGTGACCTCATTCTGACAGGCCATTTCAGTTCCTTCATATCCTTGATCTCCATCAATATATTGGTCTTTGACGTATTTAAACGCGTGAACGGCGTCGGGAGAACCTCCTGTCTCTATTTTTTCCGATGTTGTTCTTCACGGGGGTTCGGGTCTTGCTGTCTTTTATGCTCGACCCTGTCATGGGATGGTCCAACCTTTCTCGGGTTCAGTGTTTCCTCCATATTTATGTACTTCTCAGCTCGGATAAGAAGCTCGATGACTGTCTTTGGTGAAGTTTTGGATAAAGACATCTTGAAAATCTCGCACTTTATGGCATATGTGAGGGCAGAAACTGCTGCAGTTATGTGTAGGTCGGGAATCTGAAGTCTTTCCTTGTTGAACCTGGTCATGAAGTCATGTAGGTTCTCATTTTGCCCTTGTCTAAGTTGCATGAGGGAAGCCGCTGTCTTCCTGATGCGTTTGCTGCTTACGAAGAAAGCGGAGAACTTGTCCGCCAAATCCGAGAATGAGGCTATGGAGTTGAACTCTAAGGTTGAGAACCAATCCCTAGCAGCATTCGTCAAAGTTTGCGGGAAGGCCTTGCACATCACCTGATCCGGTGCGACCTGTAAATTCATGACGTCCGTGTATACGTTCAGATGATTGATTGGATCAGTGGTCCCATCATATTCTTTGATCCTAGGATACTTAAATCTGTCTGGCAAGGGGAATGTTAATATCTCGGGAGTAAAGGGAGTGTTGGGACTGAATCTTGTTGTCCCTTTGTTGCCCTGGAGTAGGCCCGCCGTAGTTCCTTCTTGAATAATCCTAGCGAGTTCCCCAGACTCCATGGTCACTGATCTCAAGGCCGAGGTCACCTGTGGTATACCCGAGGCCCCTGCTCCGCCATTGTCAGGGACATGAGCTCGAGCTCGAGCATCAGCCATAAAACCCCCCTGGGGTGCCGGATGCTAATTTCTTTGACTTAGCAGCTGAGTCAATGTGGCGACCTGTTGTCTGAGCTCTTCAAAGGCTCCAGTAGTGACGACTGCCGGATGGGGCTCTGGCACTTCTGATGATTCCTCTTGAGGAACAGGGATATCCTCAGGAGGGGGTTGGTTTGGAGCGGATGAGCTTGCGGGTGGAAGACCTGATCGTGTGTTTACCATGGCTTTTGGTAGCGATTCCCACAGACGGCGCCAATGATGCTACCAAAAATCGTACCTGTAGATTTCCCGAGCTTGATGACTGGTGAGGAGCACGAATGTGATCTTCCGATACCTGAAACAAAGGCAACGAGGTGTGTTCTCGTCGCCCCTCCGATGCTTAAGTCAGAAAGGGAAATATATGCGTGAGGCTATGTGCTGAAGAACAATGAAAAAACGTACCTGAATAATGGCCCAAGGTTCTGCTTTTATAGGAGTATGTAGTGTACTCCTAGTAGGATTGTGTTGGTTGGATTTTTTATCCAAGGGAATTTCTATTATAAGGAGTGTCCTACTTGTAATGGAATTGTTTGACAAGTGGTGTCAGGGTTGATGTAGAATCCTTGGGTGTTTAGGTTTGTTAGTTAGGTACCCGGGTCTTAGGAGCCATGTTGGTGGTGTATGTCTCGAGGACATTGATAGAATGTAAATGTGTCCTCGAGGTATCTCGAGGACTACGATACCTCGAGGACTTAGGGTGACCCCGAGGACCATAGAAGAGAAATGAGGTGGGGTATATATTGAGTCCTCGGGA